TTGAAGGGGGTCTGAATACTTTCCGTACCCACTGTATATATATATATATATATATATATATGTATATGTGTGTGTGTGTGTGTGTGTGTGTGTGTATAATGTATTTATAATTTATAAACTTATATAAATAAATAATAATAACAACTCCTCACTTCAAAAATGTATTTCTTCAATAGTTTTACTTTTCAACTGTCAGTAAAAAAAAGCACCCAAATGTATCTTTGTTTGGCCATTGTTTGGAAATGTGGATATTCAAAGAAAATAACATAAATAATATTAAAATATTAATAATAATAATTATTATTATTATTTAATTTCCATGTTAATAATAATTCATACAAATACACCAATAAATAATAAAAAATAATTAAATATTCAAAATTCGGTGCTTACCTGCGCCCAAATTCTGATAAATACAGGCAAATGCCAGATGTTTTACATTTTGAGAAAAAGGAATATTGATGTGTTTACAAATATGAACAAAATTCTGACTAATTATCGAATATGTTTATGCATGTAAACAGTCATCGAAACATTCATCATGAAATAATGGCTACTGTTGACATACTGACATACTCTTTGTTAAAAAATATATGCATGCAGTAAACAATGTATTCTGTTCCAAACACAGCCATTGAAATTGATAGGTCAAGGTGAGTTTTGAATGCCTGGATCTTTTAATTGGTAGTTTCCTGGTGTGTGCTTTAATGAAAGAGAGGCAATGTTCACAGTAGTATGTGGTGACTGAGGTCTTGCGTCCTGTCGAGTGTATGCCAAGAGGTTCGAGCCATTCGACAAACGGATTTAGAGGTTATATCATGGAGTGCATTGTACTTTTGGGGACATTATGATTTTTTCATACATGTGATGTTTTTCTTTTGATGCTGGATGGCCTCGTAATGATAGACGTGTTGCTATGGCAGCGTTTTGAGAGCTGCGAGTGCTAATGTCCTGACCATCCGCTCAGTGCGTCAGCCGTCATCAACTTCAAGCGAGTTCACACATACACACACACACACACACACACACACACACACCAGCTCACACTTAGCTTGCAGTATGACACAGCGACATATGCACACACGCAGACTTGTTAACGACACACTCTCAAAGAACTCGATGCTCGTTCACACCCCAAAGGAGAGCTTTACGCTTTCATGTGTCATAGGAAACGAGCTTCACTTTAGGGCTAATTTTTGCTAATCGCCAACTGAGATTCCTACATCCTCAAGTGCCACGTTGATTCATGATGTTTGATGTGAGACAAGAAGATCTGTCCTTGGAGAAAGGCGCACCGTTTGCCTCACTCAGAATCAAGGTTTTTTTCCCCATCGAGGTGACCTGAACGGCTTTGCTGATGCAGGCAGTAAAGAGAACTGTCTGGGAAAATCAAACCGAGCGGTTTCCAGAGCCGCTGGCCGTGAGCCTGCTAAACTGATGCGCTATCAGTGTTGTCCAGCATAGTGCACCTGTTACTTTAATGCAGTGCCGGGGACCACATGATACAGAGACTCCATTGTTGTTATTGTTTAAGCCAGGCTTTTAGGAAAGGCCAAAGTCAACCAAAGCTCTGTTATACATGGGATTACATCTCTGCCACAATTCTCAAAAGTGCGTTTTGCACTCGTAAAATAAAATAATTTAAAATAAGTTTTTGGATGTGTGCAGACCTTCTCTTTTGTGCGTGCAACGTTTCACTAGCTTGCTCACCTGATGCCCGCCCTCAGTGCTGTCTAAATGCCAACAGCTTGCTTGCTCAACACAACCCAGCGTTACAATATGCCATAATTCCAGCCAATCAGAGACGAGGCTGCTAAATTCTGATTGGCTGCCTTGACAACCAATCACAACATTCCTTGCATTACCTCGACAGCAGAAGAGGAAAAATACAGTGCATATTGCAAGTTGATATTCTGATCATATTTTTTTCCAAGCACATTTTACCAACTCCAAACGACATCAGTTTTAATAACTACTATTAATCTTGTAAATTCAGCCTTGGTGATCATAAAGGGCTTATGAACATAAATGGTAATTATTACAAAAATGTGAACAGTAGACGTGTTTGTGTATGTTGTACTGTATATATTTGTGTGTGTGTTTGTGTGTGTATATATATATGTACACACACACACACACACACACACACACACATCATCTATCTATCTATCTATAAATAATTATTATTTCTATATTTATATTTCATAAAGAGTCATTTTAAGCATTAAAATATGTTTATATATAGTATTATATAGTATTTTTTTTTAATAAAAAAATATATTTAAAAATAGCATTTTGGTTACTTATTTTAATGTTTGAAATACAGTATTTTAATTAAAATGAGTGATTTTTTGTTTTAATAAAAAACGATTAAAACATTAAACTATAAATATAATACATTATAATAAAAATTAGACAAGAGTCTATTTCTATTTTATAAATTATAAATATTTAAACACATATATGTATATGCATGTGTGTATATATGTTTGCAAAGTAGGGCTGTGCAAATAATAGAATGCGATGATCATGCGCATCTCGCAGTATCGCGTTCATAATCGCAGGTGATACATCTTCGATAATGAACGCGATATTGCGTAGCTTGTCAGTGAACTACGGCTCTGTGTATTAAAAGCCGCTCCATCTGAAAGCACGTGATGGAGATTTACTACTAATCACAGAACCGGCTTTACTGATGAGATGCGCATGATCATCACATTCGATTATTTGCACAGCCCTATTGCAAAGTGATTCAAAATATTTTGATTAAATTCTTGAATCAAATTAAATTGTACTGTGGCTTTAGTGTTCTAATGAAATCGTCAGACTGATTCAAACATGCGAGTATGTAAGTCTTAAGTAAAAGAAATTAATCATGTGTGTTATCCTCTGTCCTTCAAACTTTCTCCTGCTTTCTCTCTAAAGCTGCTGTCAGAGAGCCAAATCAACATGGTGAAAGTGGTGAACTCTGTGAGCGACGCACTCAGCTCCATGCAGAAGGAAACCGGAAACATCAAGAGCCGTGTCAAGGCAGATCTGCAGAGGGCTCCGGTGCGCAGCGTCCGGCCCAAGGGCTGCGCCGGTGGAGAAGGTAAAAAAAACCCTCATTAGCCACATATTCTCAAGTCTCCAGCCAGCCCTAATGAGCCCTAGAATGGTTTCACACCTATTCCCTCATAAGCTTTCTAGCAGTGTGAAAGAGACATGCCACTGCTTAGACAGCAGGTGCGAGATGACAGATTTGAAGTCTGAAGCTTTCTTTTCTTGAAACCTCGAACGGGTTTTCTCAAAAAATGAAAAAAAAAAAGAAAAACAGATGCAGTTATGGCTTGGCGTGTAATGTAGATTGATGATGCTGGCATGTCGTATCTCCTGGCAGGTTCCAGACCCAGGGATTGCAGTGACATCTATGCCAGCGGGCAAAGAGAGGATGGTATCTACTCTGTGTTCCCCACACATTACCCAGCAGGCTTCCAGGTCTTCTGCGACATGACTGCTGATGGGGGCGGATGGACGGTGAGTCACACAGTTCCCAAAGTCAGCGTCATACAGTACACCGACAGCTCGGGGCGAAATTCGGACATTGTTTCCCGTCACCTCTGAGCTGTTTATTTTTCTCCAAAAATATATCTGAATTGACTGAACAGCCGTAGGAATAAAAATCACTAGTAATGAGTCACTCCATTAGGCATTGACTTGTTAAGCGAACGCTCCCACGCATTAGTAAGCAGGTCACAGATACGCACATGAACGCATTCGCATGCACAAACACGCTTCAAACCGATGTTTCACAAGTGTACAGTTCATTACAGCAGCTGCATACAGAATAGATAGAGCAAACTATCATTTCCGAGAGCATTATCTTCACATTGGATGCACGCAGGAGAGTTTTCATTTTATGGTCTTTTGAATAAAAATAAAGATAAGACATAGGGATGGCAGTATATATCATGCTGTGATAGAAGAGTGCCAGTTGGTAAAGATTCTGCTTTGCCGTTTATGCCGAGCTTATATGCATTTAACAAGTCTGACAAGCAGAAAACTATAGAGTACTCTAAAATGTGTCACAGACAGGTGCTTCCAGCTTTTTTGCCTGCAATGTGAATGATTTACTTTTGGTGGGTTTGCACTGACTATGAATAATCTTATCATTAGGTCTCGATTTAATTGCTGATGATGTGACATTCAGAACTTGAATTTGGTTTATTGAGTGTAAACAGAAATAGATTATGGCTTATAAGCGGAGGAGAAACTGAAAGTGTGTCCAAGCCACTGCTCTGTTCTTACCAGAGAAGCCTGTTTAATCATAGATGGTAAATATATTTTATTTTATAGCAGTACAAAGATTTAGAATCTTGTGTTCATGTGCAAAGTCATTTTATGCATTAGGAATTACCATTTAAATCATGACAGAATAATTTTCCCCACAAGAAAATTTCTCCAAAACTTTTGGAGACTAGATGTTTTATAAAGAGTCATTTTTAAACATTAAAATGTTTATATATAGTATTAGAATTTAATCTAAAACAATATGTATGCGTATATATATGTAATTATTTTGGTATTTTAATTACAAATATTAAATAAAAAAATATATTAAACTATAAGTAACTTAATAAATATTATTATCATTTTATATTTCAATGTTTTTGTTAGATTTTTAGTTTGTCCTCTTGTTATATGCTTTTGTCATTTTATTTTACATATATATTAAATAATAAATGTTATTATTAAATATTATTATTTAAATAATTATATTATAATTATCATTGTATATATATATATATAAAATAATAATTACAATATTAAATTTATTATTAAATAAATAAATTATTAATTTATTATTAATTATTAAAATTATGATATTATCATTATTATTGTTTATATATATATTATAAATAATAATTCTAACCATTAAAATAAGTTGATATGTATAGTTATTAGAAGTTTTATGATTTTTATATAAGACAACATATTTGAAAAAGTATTTTGGTAACATGTTTTGATGATTTTCATAAAATTTGTGATTTTCATATATAAATATAATAATATTACAATTATTATTTCTAGATTTCTATAAATGTTAATATAAATATTATCTATCTATCGATCGATCGTTCGATACACACACACTGTATCTTTTGTAAACAATCATTTCTAGCCTGTATAGCACATTGTGTAAAATTGCTCATACAGTACTATGAGGTTTTGATAATGCTGCTCACTACAAATACGACAGCTATTTAATAACTTGAACAGTGTTTTTCTAGCACCATTATTAAAGAGTCCACTTTGTAAAATTGCAGTTACAGTGGCACACTGTTGATTGCTTCAAAGTGGCACGTTTCCAGGTCTTGCTTTTCAGACAGCATGTTCCTTCTTCTTAAAAATGGTTTAATCAATTCTCAGGGATGACTTTTTGCGCTTGTTGGTAGGTAGCGGTACTGCTTTATAAGCAAGTGGCTTCAGATCTTGTATTCATTATTTTCAATCCTCTAAGCATATGAAACAGAAAAGCACTTTGTTTTAATTTAATTTAGCTCTATTATTTGTACAACCAACTGATTAGACTATGTGAAACGTATCTGATAATGAATAATTGAAAGAACACTGTTACCGCCGTATCCTCATTTGCTCGCTGTCCTCAGAGAAGATACTTTGAACAATACTTGGTGAACATCACAAGCTTTACGTAAGTCCGTCTTTGTCTATGCAAGGCTATTGCAATGAAAGGAGATATTTCAAATAGCAGATGGTGTTACTAAGACTTTGAGCATCCTGATAAAGACACAGTAGGAGGCAGGCTGACATCTGCAGTAAAAGGAAAAAGATATTTGATTACACATCGTCTTTATGGTCATCAGCCTCTTAATGTATTTCGTTAAGGTCAGTGGTAGAGGCAGAGAGGACAGAACGTTACGGTACTGAGTTGTCCTTGTGTTGAGAACACAAAAACACAATCGCTTCCATTCCGATAAATCTGCCAGGTATTTTCATATTTGCTCTCTCGGTGGCTTACATACATAGTGTTGAAAAGGGTGACATATTGTATTCCCTGATTACAGTCAAAGCTGCTTTGCGGCAGCGAGAGCGTTAGCTTAGCACATCGTCTTTCACCGCTAAGCGTGCCGGGAGCGCTGGGAATCTGAAGAGGCAGAAAGGAACTCTTACAAGGAATTAATAGCTCCAGCGCCCCTATTCATCATCTGCGGCCTCCAGCGGTTTTTGATGAGGATGTGGGGCTTTTCTGCTGGTAGCGGAGTAGATCAGGCCGAGTTCAGGAGGGTCACGGAGATGGGTGATGGGGGAGGGGGTGTAATTTCACATGCTCGGACATGCACACAATCCCTGCCATGGACATTCCCAGTTAGTGGTGGAATGAGCTGCCCTCTCTTCGCCTCTCAAGACGCTTGGTCGCTGGTGTTTTATTAAAGGAATAGTTCAGCCAGAAATTAAATTCTGTCATTATTTACATACTCTCATGTCGTTCCAAACCCACATAGTGTTATTTTTTTTCTGTTGAACAAAATTTTTTTGACAATTTTTTATGCTGCTTTTTTTTATAACAACGGTTCATAGTGGCTACGTGTGTCAAACTCTGACAGGAACAAACAAATAAATAAATAAAATAAAAGCACGAAAAATGAAAGCGTCATTTAATAGCCTTGTGTGATGAAGATAAACCGTGAATGTAGACTTAAATTTAAGCCTTTTTCTTCCACAAAGCTATTGTTTGAATTCAGAAGATTTAGAATACGTAGTTTATTTCAAAGAACCAGCTCACAAGAATCATCTGTTCACAGAGAGTCATTACTCCGATTCAGACAATTATTTGCATGTGTTTTGAGAGTGATTTCTGAGTCTTTTTAACCAATTCATATGCAAAACCTGGCCCAGAAGAATCATTTGTTTGCAGTACAGTTGTTTCACTGATTCAGACTGTTCAAGGCAGATTTTTCACTTTTTTTAACCAATTAATTTAAAAAGCTTGGTCATAAGAATAATATGTTTTGCAGTGAGTTGTTACAATGATTCAAATCAATGTTTTGTAAGTTAAAGACTGATTTTTGAGTCTTTTTAGCCAATCATCCATTTGCTGTGAGACTTTACGTTGATTCAGACCATAGACTGTAAAAAAAGATGGATGACGTGTCTCCTATTCCTTTTACTATAGAAAAGTGAAGCCAAAGCATCTCAGTATGGCCGCTGCCATCTTGAGTAAATGACGTCATTTGGAGCCAGAGTCTGCGCAGTAGAGATTCGTTTGGAGCCAGAGTCTGCGCAGTAGAGATTTGTTTGGAGCCAGAGTCTGCGCAGTAGTGTCCTGAGGGTATCAAACTCCCGCCCAAACTCCCGCAGACCCAATCAACCATAACGACACGCCACGTTTTTATAGCATAAAATTACTAGCTAAAATCAAACTTATCACAAAAAAACGAACAATTTCAGAAAATTGTATTGGAAGTGTAATTCATTTTTTTATTTTGACTCAAGTACCATTCGTTTACATGGAGAGGGCGGGGTTTATGACCTGTACTGCAGCCAGACACCGGGGGGCGATTAAAGAGCGTTTGGAGCCAGAGTCTGCGCAGTAGAGATTTGTTTGGAGCCAGAGTCTGCGCAGTAGTGTCCTGAGGGTATCAAACTCCCGCCCAAACTCCCGCAGACCCAATCAACCATAACGACACGCCACGTTTTTATAGCATAAAATTACTAGCTAAAATCAAACTTATCACAAAAAAACGAACAATTTCAGAAAATTGTATTGGAAGTGTAATTCATTTTTTTATTTTGACTCAAGTACCATTCGTTTACATGGAGAGGGCGGGGTTTATGACCTGTACTGCAGCCAGCCACCAGGGGGCGATTAAAGAGCCCGCAGCTTCACTTTTCAGGACGTATGAGGCACACCCGATTCAGACTGGTTCAGACTGGAATTCATTCAAGACTGATTTTTGACACTTTTTAACTGAATTATTTAAAAGATCTTGCTCATCAGAATCACTCATTCAGAATTAACATCGATTAAAGCCCATATGTTTAAGACGGTTTTCGATTGATTTTTTATTGTATTTATTTATTTATTTTTTAAATGCATTTTAAAGAACTGGCTTATAAGAATCATCCATTCACCAAGCTTTTTTTAACCAATTCATATAAAATACCTACCCCAGATGAATCATTTGTTTGCATTTTGTTACACTGATTCAGAATAATACCTTATATGTGACCCTGGACCACAAAACCAGTCTTAAGTGTCAGTCTCATTTTTAAAAATTGAGATTTATACAACACCTGAAAGATGAATAAACAAGCTTTCCATTATATGACAATATTTGGTTGAGATACAACTATTTGAATATCTGGAATCTGAGGGTGCAAAAAAATCGTCTCAGATTACTTATGTAACCATGGTTCCCTGAGTAGGGAACGAGACACTGCGTCCTCTAGGGGTCGCTATGGGGAACGCCTCGTCGTGACCCGTGTCTGAAGCATACATTGAAAAAACACCAACT